AAATATGGGTCGTGTTTACGAACTTTTGTACAATAATCGTTAACAGAAAATCAATGTTATCAAAGTTAGCATCGAATGATTGCCTGGCGTGCCCCCATGACTTTTGACGCTTGTTGGGATTGAATCATTTGAGCAAATAAATTAGCTTTAGAGTTGGGGTAAAATATGGAAGAATGGTGCTAAGGGAAAAAAAAAGAAATTGTTTGATTGAGTTCATAAAACAAAAGAAATTTGAGAATCAATATTTATACAATATTAACTTGTGCATTTGCACAGAAAAGAATACTTTTAAAAGATAACAATATAAAAAAAAAACAAAAATAAATCATAATTTATACATGAAAAAAAAATATAAATTAAGAAAATAATTTTCAAAATTGATTTTGATCAAGTAATTGCTATGGAAAAGCCTTTACAACTATTTTCTTTATGCTAATATACCCGGCCATTTTTATGAGTGAGTGTGACTTAAAATTAGAGTACAATATTGTAACTTCCTTGACTGGTTTATACTCATAATTTATGGCATTCAAGCAAATTATTTTGTAACTTAAAAATGAAATTGAATGCTGAAAATTTTGGAGGGAAAATAAAATTTAATGCATGATAATATAATTTAATACTTTGTTGCTCCTCTTTATGATAATATATCCTACTTGTTCCCACATCATTTCTTATCACCAAGTACCTCAGATAACCTTTTGCATATGCTCAAAGACAACATTGTTTCAAATTGGTAGCTTAAAAAATGAATGATATATAGATTATTGCAAAATTTATGCATCTTATATTTTCTCTTTGACATGTAGGGCACATAAAATGCAAAGTTTCTTGAGTGAGTAGTATAGTAGAATTTGAAAAGACTTCTTCACTTTGACACTTCACCAAACACTCTCATTAATCAGTTGATGCATATCAACATCTCTTTTGCCTTTCTTTTTCGGGCCACAATAGTTGGAGAAAAAAAGATTGGGAAAAGACATTTTTTTTTTTTTTTTTTTCGNGGATTTTTGCAATGTAGGATGATGTAATAATGTTTTTGTTTATATTGTATTTTAAACTATGTTTTCTTGTGTAAACGTTAAACTATTGACCTTGTAATTAATGTGATATATAAGGAGAATAATTCCTATAGAATTTAATTTAACAAGGCAAATACAAATGAGATAACAACTCTTGTTTTATTTATATATTTTATTTATGTTTTATTATATTGGATTGATAAAATATATGTAAAAAACTACTTTGCTATACACATGTAATTAATCAAATGAAATGAAACAAAAAATGCATTTATCGTTAATCAAATGTAATGAATCAAAAACGAAACAAGAAATCTATCCGCCAATTTTTGGGCTTCCTTCCTACCTTCATCCAATAGTGGGCTTTGTATAATTTATGAACATTGTTTGGGCCTCTTGAGCAATACAATGGGTACAGAAACTATCCGCCAATGACCCGGTCAAAAAACGGGTTTCCCTCCACCATCAAATTTCAAATTTCAATTTGAATTTGTAGATGGAAATTGGAGTGATAATAGAAAAAGGAAAAAATCGGAGGTGCAACGATCACCATCCAGCTGTCTAAAAATCAAATCTGAACCAATCTCGACCGTTGAAAATCACAGGTGAAAAGAATATCCTATTTTCTCGACCAACCTCAGTTATAAAAATCCCCATTTTTCACCACTAATTCCGATCAACCACACGAAAATTTCACCAGTCGTCTTCGTATACGCTCTGGAAATTCTTCCCTCGGATTCAAAATCTCCTCAGAAAATCGAAAATGAGAGAGTGCATCTCGATCCACATCGGACAGGCCGGAATTCAGGTCGGCAACGCCTGTTGGGAGCTTTACTGTCTCGAGCATGGCATCCAGGTAAGATTTGTTCGCTTTTTGTTTTTCTCCATGATTTTACGTTCTGAAGCTCGATTTCCTGAAAATTCTGTAGGTTTTTTTTGGAAATTTTGTCGGATCTCGTGAGTTTATGCAGATTTGATTTAGATCTGGTTGTTTTTTTATGCATTTGACTGTGTATTGTTGATGAGTGGAGTTTGATAAGTCGTGAATGGTAGTATGGGAACTGTTAATGATCAATACGAAGAGCTAACGGTTTCTGTTATCTTACTTAGATCTTGTGTAAGCTGTTCTCTCGTGGATCTGACTATGTTAATGTATTTGCCTGCATTTTGTAGCTGATTGGAGTTTGGTTTTTCTGGTATGATATCTAAGTGCTATTTGTTCGTGTGAGCGTTTGATCATTGCCATTATCTGCCAAACTAAAAGCTGCTGATTTCATGTTCCCTTACTTTGATCTAGCGAATTTCTGAAGTTCTCTAGCTTCATGTTTCATAGTTCTGTTAACCGAAATGAAAACCTAATACTGCTTGTACTGTAAACTTCGCTGAGGGATATTTTGAATTTCATTCTCATATCAGTAAAGTTCTGTGTTGAAGTCGATTATCCTGGACAATTGTTGATTTCTTGCTTTGTTGTTCTATTGCTCCTCTTTCACTGTAGTTTAATCGAATATCTCATATGTATAATATATCAGCCTGATGGACAAATGCCGAGTGATACCACTGTTGGTGGAGGTGATGATGCCTTCAACACATTCTTCAGCGAGACTGGTGCAGGCAAACACGTCCCTCGTGCAGTGTTTGTTGACCTGGAGCCAACTGTAATCGACGAGGTCCGCACGGGCACATATCGCCAGCTGTTCCACCCAGAGCAGCTCATCAGCGGCAAGGAAGATGCTGCCAACAATTTTGCCAGGGGCCACTACACAATTGGCAAGGAAATCGTGGACCTTTGCCTCGACAGAATCCGCAAGCTTGCAGATAACTGCACGGGTCTCCAGGGCTTCCTAGTCTTCCACGCGGTTGGCGGTGGCACTGGTTCTGGACTCGGTTCCCTTTTGCTCGAGAGGCTCTCTGTCGACTATGGGAAAAAGTCGAAGCTGGGTTTCACTATCTACCCTTCCCCCCAGGTTTCAACTGCTGTTGTGGAGCCTTACAACTCTGTTCTTTCCACTCATTCACTCCTTGAGCACACTGATGTAGCTGTTCTCCTCGACAACGAGGCCATTTACGATATTTGCCGCAAGTCCCTCGACATTGAGAGACCCACCTACACTAATCTCAACAGGCTCATCTCTCAGGTCAATTTTTTTTCCCCCTTTTTTTCCTATCGAAGAGTTAAGTAACTTTTTGACTGATGCAACAGAAAAATGTGTTTTTTTTCTACCTTTTTTTCCAGGTGATATCTTCCCTGACGGCTTCACTGAGATTCGACGGCGCCTTGAATGTTGATGTAAACGAGTTCCAGACAAATCTTGTCCCGTACCCAAGAATCCACTTCATGCTCTCCTCATATGCCCCCGTAATCTCAGCCGAGAAGGCCTACCACGAACAGCTGTCCGTGGCTGAGATCACCAACACGGCCTTTGAGCCCTCGTCAATGATGGTCAAGTGCGACCCGCGCCACGGGAAATACATGGCCTGCTGCCTAATGTACCGTGGTGATGTGGTCCCGAAAGATGTAAACGCAGCTGTGGCCACCATCAAAACCAAGAGGACCATCCAATTTGTCGACTGGTGCCCGACTGGCTTCAAGTGTGGCATCAACTACCAGCCTCCGACTGTGGTCCCAGGTGGAGACCTTGCCAAGGTGCAGAGGGCTGTGTGCATGATTTCTAACTCGACTAGCGTTGCTGAGGTGTTCTCGAGGATTGACCACAAGTTTGATTTGATGTACGCGAAGCGCGCGTTTGTGCATTGGTATGTGGGTGAGGGTATGGAGGAAGGTGAGTTCTCGGAGGCCAGGGAGGATTTGGCTGCTCTGGAGAAGGATTATGAGGAGGTTGGAGCTGAGTCTGGTGATGGTGATGATGAAGAACAGGAGGAGTATTGAGGAGAGTTTGTTTTGAAATGCTTTTTCTTATTTGAAGTTGTGTTTGTGTTGCCAATGTCCTTGTTGGTTTGGTTTGGTTACTAGTTTTCAAGTTTTTGTGTTTTAGTTTTCAAGACATATTGTGTTTCTTGTGAAACTTTGCTTTTGTGATTTTGTGTGGTTTTGGGTTATTCCAGTTCTTGCTGTGGGCAATGTTCTTTGGTTGAATGTTTAAAACGAAATTCCTTATTTGCAATGTTCTTTGGTTGAATGTTTCAAATGAAAATCCCTTTTTTCTCTGATTATTTATTCTGCTAGCTTGTTGTAAATATTCTATAAATTATTGTCAAATTTAAAACCTGTATTCTGGTTCAAAATATTGTTAGTCTGCTGTTCGTGATTCATGATTTTCAGTAAGCAAATATGCTGGCTGACTCGTTGCTGCTGCTAGAAAAACTAGGACAGAATGACTTTTTTTTTTTTTTTNTTTTTTTTTTTTTTTTGTTCTGAATTTGGATTGGATATAAAATTCTACAAAATGGAAGGAGCTTCATCGTACATCATCAAGGTTTTTCATTCTACTGTATTCTCTCTAGTAAACTAATATTTATTTCCTCTGTACAAACATACATATCATCGCTTCCAACACTCCACACAGTGGACGATTTAGAAGTTGGACTTTGATTCCAGAGTCGCCCCAAACTTAAAAAAAGTTTGGCTTCCGAACTTCTCATTCCACTCTGCTTAAACCTAAACAAAGTAAAGCAAAACCAAAAACAAAAAAAGATGAATAAAATAAGGTACCGGCCGCAAAGCTGTTAAACTCTTGTAAGCTCAAGAATTTTTATATGATTTTTTAAAATCATTCCTCAAATTATATTTGCTGGAGCGTGTGTAATAGAATTAGAGTACGTGATCAATAAGACCCAAAAACGCATCAAAACCATTATCGATTCATCATACAAACTCAGACTAAACTTTTTTCTAACAAAAAAATTCAAATTCTCACCGCCAAGTGGCGAAGCCGGTAATATTGGCCGAGAAAAGAGCATGAAATACGCCACATCCTCTCCCAGATGCGAATCTTCATCTCTTATCCTCAGAATCTGACTGTGAGCACGCACTTCACAGCTCCTCCCTTTCATCTTCCCCACCACCGCCACCTTCGCCGCCGTCGGCGGCGGCGGACACCGCCCCTCCGCAGCCGCTGTATGCCCAAAACTCTCCCGACCCCGACCCATCTCCAAAACTCTACCTTTATCCACACACACCATTCCCAACATAACTATTATGCTTATATATAGCATATAATTATATAAATTTTAGTGAGAAATTGAAAAGAAATAAATAATTTTATTAATTTGTGTGGTTTATGCGTCTTATATAAATATGGGGAGTGGGTTGAAGTTGAGCTACGCTTTTCTTTTTTTCACGGGAATGGTTGATGATGAGGACGTGGGCTGTCGACACGTGTCCCGGGGAAGAGCGAGGGCTTTCGGGTTGACCGATCCGGGACACGTGGATGGACCCGATGTGGCCCGGCCCGGTGCGGACTGGCCCAGGTGTGTTGCTCCGCTTTTCGGTGGGTGGATTGTTTTTATCTCTACGGCACGCCAATTAGGACAAAGGTCTTTATGAATCCTCACGCCAAAATATTAAAAACCATCTGCATTTACAAAAAAATATTAAAAATACTTTTAGATAAATTATTTTTTTACTTCTATTTAATATAACACTCATGTCTATTTTATTATTTTTCAAGTAGAAAAAAAAAGTCTAAATTTACATAGACTACTTACAAGCACTAGGCGAAGATACATAGCATAAAAAACTAACACGTATGTTCGAAAACTTTGCATTATATATAGAAAGAATATAAATTTTTATTTAGAAATTATTATATAATTATATTTTTTATCATTTCTTATGCCAACATATCTGAAAATGAAATTAAATTAAGAAATGAGCATGGAAATCGTGGGGAGTGGTCATATTGTAGAGCGTTTTGTGTACCATTTGATTTAACATTATTAAATTGCTTAGGCCTAATTTTAGTGTTAGGGACTGTTTGATAGACTTTTCAAAGCTATATACTCATCGTACACACGAAATCTCATATATATAAGTTTTTTTTAATCCTAAGTGCGTGGTGAGTCGACAATTAACGTTAATATTCAAACTGAATTAGTACATATCATGTGCATGCACAGATGTACATAAAATATTATAAATAATATTTGAGAATTTAATATTAAAAATTTTAATTAATGAATATATTATATTTTTAAAATTTAATCATTACGAAAAATAAATTAATAATTGTTTATTATTATGAACATCTGTTTATTATAATTAGATAATAGCAGTGTGATTATTATTACTATTACTATTACTATTATTATTACTATTACTATTATTATTATTATTATTATTATTATTACAAAAACAATTGTTTATAAGATTCTAAAGTTGTTTGACTATGTTATTAAAACAATTTACTAATTGTTTTTAAAGAAATTTTTTCATGAGATACCAAAAAAAAAAAAGATAATATTGATGTTAAAATAAATAACTTGAACTTGCAAAAAATTAAATAAATAAATAACTTGAAACAATTGTTTATAATTATGCAATTTATATTTATTGTGAATTATTATAAGTTGGTATTAGCATTCATTATTATATTATATAATAAAAAATTATATGATTGCACTCAATAGAATGTATTAATGTGCGAAGTAGAAAAATATTAATGATAAATTTTGTAACCAAAAATAGAAGAAAAAATTTAGAGGTTTTATTAAATAGATTTTCTTAAATGCTATTAGCCAGTAATTATATATAGACTTGCGTTACCCACACACACGAGTTATCCAAACAAATGGATATATGCTATTTTGTTTTAATTAAATTTATTGAATAATCAAAGTTAATTTGAAAAATTAAATTAAGTTAGATTTTAATATGATTTTGAATTTGTATTAAAATAATATTTAAAATTAGTTGAAGTTGATTTGATTTAACACGTATTAAAATAATATTTAAAATTAATTGAATTTGTATTAAAATAATACTTAAAAGTATGAGAGGGAATTAATTCATAGTTAAAATAATCATGTTTGCGTATAAATAGTGAATTAAAATTGATGTGATGTGTGTAGATAATTGATTGATGTTATTTTTTTTTTGGTACAATTGATTGATGTTATTTAATTATATTGATAATTTTAAACATAATTAAATGAAATTAAATTTGAGTTAAATTTTGAGTTAAGAAAATTATCTGATCAAATGTAACCGGATAACTTATAGTCAGGACCTAACTGGTTTGTCTTGAACTCGAGTTGTCCCCGAAACATTAGCTTTAATCTGAAACAAAAAAAATCGTCAAAAGCAATTAAATTTCACAAGTTAACTAAAATTGATATAATGAAAATGGTGCAGAATTAAAACGAGATTAAGTGGATTCAAGTTCAAACACGAGGCCTCGAAAGCTGCGAGAATGGGTCTATTACGAGTTCAGCTTTGCAAGCCCAACAAAATTGTTTAGGAATAAATGTACGGGTAATTTGCATTTCTACGTTAAGGATTTTAAAATAATTGCATAAATAAAAAAATAAAAATTTATTTGCAAGTATGCCTAAATTAACATAATTATTTGGATAACTATAATATAACTGCCAAACAAAAAATAAAGAGGTGACATCCCAAGAATCTCATAATGGAGCCAACTGTTGGCTTCATAGCAAAACCGTTCTTTTCATTAATTAAAAAAAAAAAGAAAAATCTGAACAAACAATGGCGAGCAACGTCATCCCATCACGAGCAGCAAATATACAGAAAAATATACAGAATATAAACAATATATATACGAAAAATATACACTATATATACCTAGGATCATTTTCTAAGTAACTAGATGGTGGAAAACACAACATATAGAGAAAAAAATAAAGAATATAAACAGTATATATACGAAAAATATACAATATATATACCTAGGATCATGCCGATCCTTATGATATTCAATTCAAATCTTTCGTACAAAAAATTCAAACTATACACACTATTAGTGTGCATACGAAAAAATATAAACAATATATATACAGAAAATGTACAGTATATATACATACAACTACACAAACAACAGAAAAAAGTATAAATATACTACATATATACAACATATATACAGTATAACAACAAAATTCTTTGATCGTCCTTCGTCTCCTCAAGGCGTGTTGAACAAACTCTGTCAGTGGAGATGACAGATCTGCGAGTAGGGATCCGGACCATACAGACGTTCGATTTACTGAATTTCAAATATATACCGTATTGTTTTTATTTCTAATATGAATTTTTTATTATCGATTTACTGAAGATTTTGATTTAGTAATGAATAAAAAAATATAATAATAAGAATAAAAACATATTTGAAAAGTAAAATATTTTTCTTAAATATGTCCAACTAAATTTTTATCGTGGTAATAACTGCGACGTTTCCAATTCCATTTAACTTTTTTCTGCTTCACGAGAATTGTTCACGTGGTCTCGTTGCTTCGACCAAAGTCAGCCCACACGCGTCATTTTTCTACCGGTCTTAAATACCCGAATTACCCTCCTTAGCCGCACCAATTTACAGCGTACCAATCGCATTCAACAGATGAGACACGCGAACCTTCTAAGGGTAACATGGTAACTTCATTTCCATTTGACCCCGTGACGCACTAATGCGGTGCTTCCTCCGGCCACACGCCGACGCGTGCCCTCACCTTCCTTCACACAGTTTGCAGCGATCAACCTAACCATTTAATTCTACTCCGCCATTTTTTTTTTCTCTGCACAAGTTCAATCGTGCTCTGGAGTTTTTGTGGGTTTGTCCATTGTACGCCAAATTGCACTAGCCCTTTTCATTTTTTCTGGTTATTGTGAGGTATATAGATATGGGTTCTGAAACTGATGACCGGGTCGACGATTGCGTGAAGGAGTCTCCGAGGTTAGTTCGTTATTTTGTTGTATTTTGATTGTTTTGCTTCTTGTGCTTTCTTTTTTGTGCTGTTGTTATGCTTCAAGCTCGATTTTCTTCCAAAATTGTATGGTGTGATGTGCCCTATATTCGTGGAACGTTGGGTTTTTTTTGGATATCTTGAATTTTTGTTAGCTGCGTAAACCTCAGAAGATCAGATGAAGAAGAAGATTGTTCAGTAAATATGTGTGTGTGTTTTGGTTGGGATTACACAACTATCAATGGTGCTTGAACTAGTTGAATTGTTTCAGTTTACATTTGGGCTCCTTATCTGATTTGAGCTACTGTAAATCTTTAATAGTACTTTTGTTTGAAAAGGCAATTGTTCCGTTCTTATGTTTCAAGCTCGATTTTCCTCCAAAATTGTGTAGTGTGATGTGCCCTATATTTGTGGAACTTTTGAGTTTTTTTGGGTATCTTGATTTTTCGTTAGCTGCATAAACCACAGAAGATCAGATGAAGAATAAGATTGTTCAGTGAGTGTGTGTGTGTGTACGTGTGTTTTCTGGTTGGGATTATATCATTATACAACTATCAATGGTGCTTAACTAATTGAATTGTTTCGGTTTTCATTTAGGCTCCTTATCTGATTTGGGCTATACTGCAAATCTTTAATATTACTTCGGTTTGAAAAACCATTGTCTTGATTTTGAATGTTGTGTCCTAGGAGAATGAATCCTGGGAAAATTACAAGGAAAATTCATAAAGCCGCGAGGGAGAAGCTTAAACGTGACCGAATGAACGAGCTGTTTACGGATCTCGGAAGAACACTTGGTATGATCAGTGATAAAAATTTGGTAAACAGCAAGATTGAATTTTGACCAACCATTTTGCTTGATGATGTGAAACTGATTAAATTGATGGAAATATACTGGGTATGTTGTTGTTGTTGTTGTTTCAGATCTTGATCATATGAGTAATGGAAAGGCTTCTATCCTAAGAGAGACGATTAGACTCGTTGGGGAGTTGCTAGCTCATGTGGAAAATCTGAAAAAGGAAAATGTGACCCTTTTCTCCGAATGTAATTATGTAAGATTCGTTAACTTCAAGTTTCAACCCCTTGTGAGATTGGTGGAGTGTCGATTTAATACATGTTTTTTATCTGCTTGCCACTGCATGATATTAGTTAGCCAGATGAGTTTTGCAGCAGTCTGTTTTTTCTTAATTTTCTGCTTCCCATTTGGTTTCATTATATCGAAATTCGGTACAACCGTGCAGGGAAATTCGGATAAATTACAAAAACTGATATTATAATAAGACTTGGAGCCCTCAGAAATGTATTCGGGACTTGCTGACTGTTGATCACAAAGTAAAATAAAACCAGTATTCATTGTTTACCTTTCAACACTCTTATTGACTTATTCACCGGATATAATGTCTTACTCAATTCATTTGTAGTTTACATTTGCTAATACAACCCACTTCTGATTCCCAACGATAAATCACTTTATTTATAACTATAAGTTTCCACCCTTGCTCGAATGCAATGCTTAGGTTATGTTTGGTAAAACTAGCTGGTAAGTTGGTTGATAACTTATGAGTGATTTTCGAGCTTATGCCTTATGATTTATAGTTGCTTGTTTGATAGAAGTGTTTGGTAAAATAAGTTGATAAACTAGCTGAAATAAAAATTTCAATGAGCTTATTTGAAAAGCTACTCAAAGAAGTTTATGAGACAAACTCGAGTTTATTTAAAAAAGCTCGTCTTACGAAACGAAGCTTATTTGAATACATAAAGCTTATAAGCTAACTAAATGAGATATAAGCTAACTTATTTGGTTACCAAATATAGCCTTAATGCTCTTTGAGTCGTGAATATCGATTCAAATGCCAGGTTACAGCTGAGAGGGACGAGCTCCAAGAAGAAACTTCAACGCTTGACGCACAAATCAAGAAGCTTCAGAAAGAAATAAACGAGCGGGCCAATTGTGAAGAAGACTCGGGAGTTTCTTGCAATTTTCCCCCGAAACTAATAACAGAAGATCACAACTCGGCCCCTGCAGTGGGCCCACCTCTAATCGTCATGCCCTTAGCCGCTCATGAATCGCAAGTTTTTTCAGTCCCTTTTACGGAGGCGAATGTTTGTAAGGCTCCGGCAAATGTGAGCAAGCCACGTGCACGTTACCCTTCTTCTTCAGATTCTTGGCCATCTCACATTCTTGCACAATCAGACAATTATGGATTGGTTGATGATGTTAGGGAAAGTTAATGCAGGCTCTGATTAAACATTCAAATTGCAGATGGATATAGTAATAATTTTTAGTTTGGGTGCATTTGATTTAGTGAATTGGGTTTGGTTTTGTTTGTAGATGATGGATCAATAAAGTGAGTGTATTTTGCTAGTTATTTTGTTTTAGAAGCTGTTGTGCAATGCTTTTAAGATTATGATTTCAAACTCTTTTTGCCTTTTATTGCATTTATCCGCTCGATGTCCGATCCATCATTGGTAGCTTCTGGCTTGCTGGCACATTCCTCGGCCCTTGGCTCGTTAATTTCCGAAAATACCCTTTCTTCTAATTTTTCTAAGTTAGAAGATGATATCAGACTCTACACTCGCAAGGTGCTCGATTTATGGTCGACGTGCGTGAAGCTTCTGGAAGATGAAGATGCCGAGCTACAGAAAAAACTCGCTCTAAACATACAAAAAATTTTCCTGTCGAGAAATGACGTAGCTTCCAGCCAAGTCGAGAAAGTGATCGAGTCATGTTTCGAGCATCTCTCGAGAATATTCGGACACTGGCTCGATTACTTGGATTTTCTCTGCTGTTGGGTCCTAAATGCCGTTAATGGCTCACAAAACTATGAGATATGTACACTATTCTGTTTTTTATTTATACACCTGATTCCAAAGTTTTTTCTGTCTTTCCAAATGAAGGTCGGATTATAGAAAGACAAAATTGGTATGCTTTTGTTCATATTTTATTTTAAATTTTAATGTATGATATTTTAGTGTGCAAATATGTATGACAACCTAGCCATAGGTGACACAAAAATGTATCCTTCATCCTATGTTAAATTCTTTCACCATTCTTTGTGAGATTTGCTAGAAAACACGTACAAATGTGGTTTTTTCCTTATATTTAAGCATGGCATGCAATTATACAAGAATGTTATTTTATAAAAATAATAGGTCCAACCTATTCTATATTAGTTTGGCAACTTACTAATGTAAGAATGTTATATTATAAAAATAATAGGTCCAACCTATTCTATATTAGTTTGGCAACTTACTAATGTTGTGTTTGGTAAGTATAAAAATGAATTTATAGCTTATTTGATTAACTCATAAGTTTCATATATTTAAATAAGCTTGGTTTGAGCCTTCAAATAAGCCTAAAAATTTTCAGCTAGATTATCAGCTATTTTACCAAATACTTTTATCATATAAGCTAATTTTTCAGTCATAAGTCATAAGCGATCAACTATAAGCTCGAAATTCACTTAAAAGCTATAAACTCATATAAGCTGGTTTATAAACTAGGTTTACCAAACATAGCTTAAATTGACTTAGGTCGAAAAAAATACATCATCCTAATACCGTATGTTTTCCCAACCTAGTATTTCAAGTACTAGCAATATATGAAGTGTTATTTAAATAATTTTCTCCCTAGAAAGTAAAGTTTTTCTAAATAATTTGTTCTTAAAAAGAAAAAAGTATAAAATAATAGCTCCTGCATGGAATATATACTCCCAAAACTTATATTGATCAATGCAAACAGACAAGCAGCATATAAGAGTCGCAAAAATGGCTGCACAACAACAAAACTTATATTGATCATACATTACACAATGAAAACAACTGCAACAATGTTTCTCTGTCACTTTACCTAACATAAATCCGACCAGGTACTGGTAAAAAGATCCAACGCGTTTCAAGTTTATAAAACCCCAAAAAAGTTACAGTTGTAAATAATTAAGGTTAATTTCTTACAAGTAATCTCCACTGCCATCTTTACTCGTCTTCATCATCTTCCTCGGTATCTTCATTTTCCCCCTAATAACCAATATTTAAGATAAAAAAGTAAGAGAAACCAGTTGAAATTCGATATCATTACTTCATACACAACAAATATCAAAACCAGCCGATAATTTTTAATTACATGTGGAAAATTACGAAGAGAGGATAAGGAGTTTTCTAAATTTTCTTACATCATAATCCTCATCATTGTCGGCATCATCGTCGTCATCATCATCATCATCAGTATCATCATCATCATCATCGTCATCATGATGAACCTACATTCATTTAGCTTCCATATAAGGGAACTAATACTAGGATTTCTTCATGTTTTAATAGATGAGAATAAGGTAAAAAATCATTACATTGTTAAGGTGCTCAATAGGGTTCGCCCATATATCTTCCTTAATTAGCTCCGCAACCTGCAATTTACGGACAACAAAACACTGATCGTTAAAGGAAAAAAAAATAACTCCCGAGATCGAATATAGTTACAAAAACTCCATTACTTGACATTATTATATTTTTCCTTCAATTGCAATAACGAAAAAATATCGAAAGTAAAATAAATCCTTAATGTTTGCCTCACCGGATCACGATCCACCTCTATTGTATACTCAGGGTGAAACTCGAACCAGTCAAAGAAGCTGGCATTCACGAGTGTGCTAAAGTGAGATTAACATAAATTATATGCTTTGTCTATTTATTCGAGTTCTCAATATCAGTAGTTATTGAGGAAATAAATAAGTAATACCTATTTGGAGATGATGACCTTTTGTTTCCTTCCTTCATATAATTGCTGATGTCAGATGGGCCCTAGCCATGCACAAGTCACTATATAGCTTAGAAAATAATAAATGACCAAAAAAAAGAGGTAAAAATGGTTTGACTTTCACCTTGCCCGGCTTCCACTTGATAGTCGTGCCAGTTGACTTCAGAGTCCCATCGTCGAAAAACTCCATAGTCTTAGTGAGTTTGGTGTTATGAAAATATGGGTTGGGCTTGAAATTCTGTCAGCTCGAAAAGAAGAAAAATTTTGTGTACTAAATAAATAAACAGCTATATAATATATATAATAGTATAATACGTTGATATAAGAACTAGAGAAAACAGTTATTTTTCTACAGGGAAAAGAGAGAGAGAGATGAAAAACTCTTACAAATGTGATGCAATAACCCATCCTATCATCTTTGAAGTTCTCCACATGAAGAGTATCCAAGTACTTAAATATCTGGATTACAACAGACGATAAATTAACACAATTACTAAATAAATAGTAAGGCTAAGTAAAGATAAGAAAATAAATAAAATTATTTGTGGTTTGACCTCTCGATCGTCCATGTTCAACAGATCCTCGATAGTAGGATGACTCAAGAGCTGCAATAAGAAAAAGATGGCAATTTAGAGATTTTATCATCAATTGAAGTCGAGCGAGTCGAGCTTTAACAAAAATCAGTAAAGAATAAGAATGGACTTTTATACTCACCGAAGTTGACCAAAAGTCCGGTATTCCACTGATGATCTTATCTCTCCTTACGTAAATGGGATCTCGAACTTGATCATATTTTTTTTCGATAGCCAATATCTCGTGATTGGCTTCTTCGTTAATCTACATAAAATCGAAGTTAAAAATGAAAATGCATTTCCACAATTATGTGATTTTTATTTATTTATATTAAAATGATGATGCAGGGCCTATCGGAAAAATATAACAGATATGAACATTATCTCATAAAAGTTACTTGAATCATGATAGAAAAAAGAAACAGAAACAGAATAAGAAAAAGAACTCAATGATATACTGTCTTTGCATGGGGCAACAAACAATTATCCAGATAATAAAGGTTCGATCATTGTAGCCGACTTAAATAGGACACGTATGAAACTCGGTTTTACTTGTGATGGGTCCCACTTCAGAATATAGTTCCTGAATAACATTTGTCAGCATGTTCTTCATCTGTTTATTTGCCTAAACTGAGTTCTTTTAGAGGTGGATTTGTGGAAATATCATGTAACAATTGCTTCGACGTAAAACGAATCTTTGTATAACTATTAATCAGTGTCCATTTTAGTGAGTTGTATATCATATCTAATGATAAAAGGGAGTTAAAGCAGTTATCGGAAAACGATAACAATACTCAGCCCCGATGTTATCATAGTAATAAATATAAATAATAACCCAATATAACTATATAAGTTGTGTTGTGTTATTCATAAGAATATAAGCATCTCACCAAGTAACGAGAATCTTGATTATATCACAACATGAAAAGAAAGTACTTATTTTGTCATTATTATCACGATGTTAAAATTGAAAATAAGAACAAGTAATTAACACGACCGAAATCATGCAACGTATATCAGGTGAAATATTACACGCTGCAATGAATATGATATAAGAAAAAACACACATTCAAATAAAAATACACATGTACTATTATAATTTACATCATGTGTGTGCTTAACTTCATAAAATTTTCTTTTACAGACTTAATTTCTACCATTTGATTGTACATTCTCGACACCATATTCAATTTAAATTCTGAATGTTTCCCCGATATCCAGATTTAAAGTACCACATTATGCGGAAAATAAAAAAATATACAATCTGGTTTTGTTCAAGTACATTGAGCAAATACAAACCAATAAAATTCAATGCTTTAACACATCCATTCAATCGGCAAGGAGCATTATATATAAATATATAATGCATCCGAATTCAATGGCAATTCAGATTGTTCCTTTATAAGCTGATTTTTCTTTATTAAAAAATGGAACCTAAAAAAGAAAAAAAAAAAGAAAAAAAAAACAGAGCAATCATCAAAATTTTCAACTAACAACCAAAAAACTCAACAGGAAAAAAAAAAATCCATCACATCATGCAGCTTCAANACCACAAAATTAACGCAAACAGAGTTTCAAAGGAGACAAAAAAAAAAGACCTTATTAAGCTCGTCTTGAACTTCCTGAACCTTCTCAATGGCGAGGGCCAGGTCATCGGCGTCCTCCTCCACCGCCGCCGCTTCGGTCCTCGATCTCTTTGCTCGACGGCCGGACACCATTTTTTCCTCTGAAAACCTAGAACCTGCGGCGCACGAAACCCTAGGACGCGGACCGGAAAACTGCGGCTCCACACATTCATGAGTGTGCGCGAGTATATATATAGCGAGGCAAAGGGATTGGATTGCGTGAAGGCGATTTGCGTGTTAAAATGCAGATGAAAGTGTGTGTTTGTGTGTGTGGATGAAGGGCAAGTGTATAGAGCTTGGAGTGGACACAGTGTCAGTTGGGAGGAAGGAGGAGAGTAGTCCTACATTATTGTTGGTAGCCACGTGGAGTTTCGTTCATACGACGTGTCGGTTTTTGACTTCTTTGTGTGGGGCCCCGCGATGGACACCGTGGACTTTTCACGGTACTGACTACCGATCACGTACTATTTTTTAATTACTTAATTGTAATTCTTAAATATTACTATAATTAATATTTTTATAAAATTTGTAATTTGTCTGCTCATGTATTTATATTTATTATTTTTTTGTATATAATGTTCTCTAATTTTATTATGAAAATATTAATTCTTCTACTCATTCTGTCAATCATATATTGAATTAATAATATTAACCACTAATGATAGCTAATATAAAATTTCAGTGATTCGATATCATGTTTTCCTTTCCTTTTCTTTTCTTTTCTTTTTTTTTTTTCTTTTTTCACATTATATTCACCACCATAATTGAAGTCACAAAAATGTACACATACAAAGCATAGAAAAATACTAAGAATTAGGAACTTACTACTCCAAGCTATGGTCTTAAGATGGTGAATAGTAATGTATAAGATAAATTAAAACCCCTATTTCATATATAAAATGGATGATTAATGATTTAGTAAGGTATAAGATAAATTAAATTGTCCCCTCACCATATTTAGGCAAATAATTTATGCAAAATAATCAACAAGACAATTAATAATATGTACCTAATTGGTCCAACTAATTGGCTCCTTAGCATTATTGAATCTTCTCATTCTAATTCCTACTACGAACACCCCAAATTAGACATTTGATACATGTAGCAAGTAACAAACCATAGAGTATCAATTTAAAATCAAACAACCAAACTCGTTTTATTCATTTATTATAACGAAAGCCCTTATGTTACAGCATGCTCCAAAGATCTCTCATCAACCCCACACACACACAAAATTAAAAAGAAAAATTAAAATAAAAAAAAGGACACAAAAGCATGCATGCAAGCTGATCTCCCATAGAGCCTCTCTCACTCTAATTTGTTCTCCTTTTGAATTAAGATACCCTGCACAAAAACAAAAACAAATATGTTCATTTATTTAATCAAAATAAATAAATAATCAAATCAACAACAACAAAAACAAAATTAAAAATGTTCATTTATTTAATCAAAATATATAAATATTCAAATCAGCAACAACAACAAAAAAAATAAAAATATTCACTTATTTAATCAAAATATATAAATATTCAAATCAACAACAACAAAAACATACTGGTTGCAGTCGATATCAGGGCTGACCGACATCCCGATGGACACGCCGCATTTTCCGGGAAGACTTGAGGCGGCGTCTGATCGGACATTGTAACTGGAGGCGGCAGACTTGATGCAGCTGCACGCAGTCTGCCTATCCTGTCGAGACTCGAGATTCCCCACGAGGCTCCTCATTCCCCCGCAGCACGAGCCCGTGGGCTCCGCTCCTCCATTGCCGGTCAAGTAGGCCAGACACGGAGAGAGGGAGCCTTGTACGTCGCTGCACGAGACAGCCTCGCCTGGCGGCAGACCAATCAGGGCCGCCGCCAGGGCCACCACCACAAGCATTGCAACATTGACTCCCTTCATTCTTGGTGCGAGTTGAAAAATTGTGTGTGTGTGTGTTTTTTTTAGTGAATTAAAGGGTATTATTGCATGTATTTATAGTTGAGAAAAGTGAGATTTAATTATTGTGGGCAAAATTGTTAACTAGAGAATTGAGGTCACAAGTGGTTGAGGGATTTTGTCTTTGAGTTAGATTTTCAAATTGGTTTTGGGTTGGATAACTGGGAGAAAAATTGGACAAGTATGGAGAAGTGACTAGCTAATTAGATTGTGGTTAGGAGATGGACAATTGAATGATAAATTAATGGACAATGTAGTCATTGTGAGGGTTTGTGGAAACTAGGACACGTATACCTTTAGACTTTGGCTATCCTTGTTATAGTCAAATCTTAGAGGTTTACTTCAAGAAATTGATAATATATATAAGAAAGTAATGAATATAGTGCTCTTAAATTAAACAAGTATGGCTCGGCTCGACTCGACTCATTAAAGCTTGAGTTTGGCTCGAGCTCATTTAAAGCTCGTCTAATTAACGATCCGAGTTCAGCTCAATAAGGCTCGAAAAAGGAATTTTTATATAATTTTATATAGTTCGATTGTTAAAGCTCGATATTGGCTCGTTAATAGTGATAAACGAGCCGAGTTCGAGCTCAATTTCTGGCTCGTTTATTTAACAAGTCGAGCCAACTCGAGCTCGATCTCGAGCACTCTAAGCTTGAGCTCGACTGAGCTTGTTTTCAGGCTTAGTGATGATATGTTTTCGAATTTGGGCTAGCTCATCTAGTTCTAAGTAATGGAGTGTAGAAAGCATGATGGGCCCGTGTAATCATGGCTATACACTAATGCCCAAGCAGCCCAATAATTTGACATTTCTAGTTGGGCTATTCACATGGCCCGATTCACCAAACTTCACTCAAAAGTGTACCTAAAGTCGCTTTCATATACTTTATCTCTATTATTCAAAGGCAGCCCATCGAAGTTCTGGTTTTTAATTTCTCTGCAACCACTCGCTCACCTTCATCCCATCTCCAACTATCCAACATTTTTACTGTTGCAATTTTATTTGTTTTCCTTTTCTTCTTTTGTTTTTGCTTAAATTTGAAAACCCAAATGCTGGCAATAGTAACCTGCAGTAGCTCCATTGTTCCCCCTTCGAGACCTCACACCGCCGCCGCCACTTTCATCTCCGGCAAGCATCTGCCGTTTCTCGGCCGCCGCAAGCTCTGCTGTGACGTCATTTCACGTCTTCCGGCTCCACCCCTCACCCCATGGTAAAAAGTTTCCCCCTTTAGAAAATTTTTCGCGATCCTTTGCTGTAATTTTCCGGATTTCTGAAAATTGGGTGCTTTTTTTTATTCTTCAAGGGATAATGAGAAAGACGATGCCCATATCCTCCATGAAAGAGATCTTGCGCAGGAAAGTTTCTCTTTCACCACTCGTCGGACGTTTTTTGCGCGTTTAGTAATGTGCACATGCTACTCTTATCTTCTTACTTCAAGGTACTCTCCAGGTTCGCACATTTCAGGCTTTCTTTTGCTTCCGTTTGGTTCGCACATTTCAGGCTTTCTTTTGCTTCTGTTTTTATCTTTCTGTATTATCTCGAGGCTCTAGTTTTTCTTTTTCAATCTATTGTTTTTAATGATGGAGTGTTTGCATAGATTGATGATTTTATTGCGGTGAAGCTGAAAAGTCTTTCTGAATGTTGAAATGTACGAGCTAAATTTTGAATAAGTTAAAGGATTTGTCCAATAGGCTGTAAAAATGCTTGTCATATTTCATATTTTTTTTTTTTGTTACATTAAGCAGAACAAGAAGTATTGTCACTTGAAAACTCCAAAGGTACTCTTTTTTTTCCTTAAATTGGGTATATTTGCAGACATTTCAGTAATATTACTATAAGCAGAGGAGAAATCATTTATACACAAGAGGAGATACTCACATTTTTTTTAATTACAATTTTAGATGTGAAAGTGAAAACTAATAATATAGATATGTGATTTCAGCTTATGCTTTAGGAGACCCATCAGTGACTGTTGAACAAGTCACACCTCCAGTTTTCTCTCCCGGGACACTTTTCCCATCAGAGGTTCGATTTCTCTCTCTGCAAATAATGTTCCATTTTCTCCTGTTTTTCCTTGTCATTCTAATTAGTTATTACTTATTTGCAATTGTTTTTTAAAACTTCTGTGGCAGGTGAATTGATAATGTGTCCTACTTGACAGGAAAGAATTGTTGAACTGTTTGAGAAGAATACTTACTCAGTGGTCAACATATTTGATGTAACTTTGCGCCCCCAACTTAATATTACAGGGTCCGTTGAGGTAATCAATTTCGATTTTATGCTAACTCTTTATCAATTACTTCTCTGAAAAATGTATAAAGTAGAAATGGATTCCATTTGTACAGGTGCCTGAAGGAAATGGTTCAGGAGTCGTCTGGGATGAACAAGGTCATATCGTTACGAATTATCACGGTATGATTCCGTTAATTTCAATTTTCGTTTAGCATTTTTTGATTTCTTGTGCTCGAACAGAATCTTTCGACTCGCTTCTAGCAATTTTCATCTTTCGCCGTGTTTTTTATTGTTTTAATACGTGAAAGTGGTTCTAAAATGGATTGCTTGATTCTATATTTTTTGGTAACCCTTTCATTGCTCGGTGTTTATTCGTTAATCATCTCTTTTTACACTGACCAGTTATTGGAAATTCTCTATCAAGAAACCCGAGCACCGGCCAAGTTGTTGCTCGAATCAATATTCTAGCTTCTGAAGGGTAAAAGAGTCAGAATTTCTTTCCTCCCATATAATGTAATGACAAGTCATTTCACTCTGAGTAAATAAATCAGTGGCCTTTTTGTTGAATTTAATTCTTTTATGAAGGGTACAAAAGAACTTTGAGGGTAAATTAGTCGGTGCTGATCGGGCAAAGGATCTTGCTGTCTTGAAGGTTAATTTGATTTGCTACCCGAGTTTTATTGAAAAGTGAAAAAATGCAGCTTTCCTGGTGGTGTTAGTTCTGTTTTACTTTTTTCAATGTTTCTCAATAGTTATTTAGATCAGTTTGACCTCAATAAACCTATTTTTGTACAAACTTTTCAAAAGATCGAATTTTGTAACCAATATTTTTTCAAACCAGGTTGAAGCCTCTAAAGAACTATTGAGGCCAATGAAGGTGGGCCCATCATCTTCTTTAAAAGTTGGTCAACAATGTTTGGCGATTGGAAATCCGTTTGGTTTTGATCACACGCTTACTGTTGGAGTCATTAGCGGTCTCAATCGAGACATTAACAGTCAAACGGGTGTTACTATTGGTGGAGGTATTCAAACTGATGCTGCCATAAACCCGGGAAATAGGTTCATTTCCAGCATTTTAAATCTTCCCGATTTAAATATTCTCGTTTTTTTTTTCCTTATTTGAGCCCGGCATTCAAAGTCTTCTCCTTTAGGCTCATTTCCAACATCANTTCCTTCATCAACAGTAGTAAAAATCGTGCCACAGCTAATCCAGTTCGGCAAAGTATGTTTTTACGGTTTCAAAATCCTTTTTCGACATATTTTGGAAGCTGAGTTTTTTGTTTTTTACTGATTAAAAATTTGGCAGGTTGTTCGAGCGGGTTTAAATGTTGAAATTGCTCCAGATCTTATTGCAAGCCAACTCAATGTACGAAACGGAGCTTTAATTTTGCAGGTAATATACTAATCATAAAATGTGTGCTGATATTCAAACTTCCGAATAATTTTTTTTTTAAAAAAAAAAAAACACGGATTTTTGCAATCTGTATAGGTTCCAGGAGATAGTTTAGCAGCAAAGGCGGGTCTTTTACCAACTACAAGAGGCTTTGCGGGGAACATTTTACTCGGGGACATAATTTTGGCAGTGGATGATAAACCTGTAAGCACTTCAAATCCTCTCACATTTTTTTCGCCATAATCGAAAGTCCAAATTTTCAAAAAATCTGAATTTGGTTACAGATAAAGAGTAGAGCAGAATTGTACAAGACATTGGATGATTTCAATGTTGGGGAAAAAGTGATTTTAAAGATTCAGAGAGGTACTGAAAATTTGGAGCTACCCATTGTTCTTGAGGAAAAGAAGGGATGAACTGTTGAAGAATTTTGCTTTCGTTTTTCGATTTTTCTTTCTTTTTCGCTTCCTTTCGAAGTACTATTAAACAATTATATGTATGTATGTATGTATGTATAAATTTGCTAATATTCTGCAATCATATTCTCCAATAGTCAATAATTGTCTTCTCTATAGCCATTTACTTATAGTTAGCGCCATTCAACAAAAACGAGTCGCTGCTCAGCTCAGAAGAGCCAAGCTCAAGCTCGATTAAAGCTTGTTTAGTTGATGAGCCAAGCTCAAGCTTGTTGAGGCTCGAGTTCAGTTTATTAATATTGATAAATGACTTGAGATCGAGCTCGTTAAGTTAACAAGACAAGCTCAGCTCGGCTCAATAAAGGCTCTGCCTCGAGTTTGAGTTCCGCTCGACTCATTTACACCTCTACTTATAGTTTAAGGAAATTCTTATTAACTTTAAGATAGAAGCTATTAAGTGCATGGAGTATGAAGCCTTTTTTTCTCACATCTAATGACTCTTGACACTATAACTTACTCAAAATTGATCCAGAATTTTTTTCAGGTTTGAAAGACAAATAAAAACTCTTTATTTCCATGAACAACTTATTCTTAAATAAAATTCTTCATGGCACTTAAAAGTTCTGCAATTTCTTAAATTTAAATAGAGCTGGAAACAACTGGGGAGAAAGAATGGTACTTTAATGTGGTTTTTTTTTTTTCTTGTCAAGAAGGTAATAATAAATAAGTCTTCAGAAGTCTTATTATCAGCTATTTATTTCCCTTTGTTGGCACAAAATAATTGTGTATAATTATAGAATGAAGTGTCTATCCACTAATCTAATTCAGGTTGAGTTTCAACATTAGTAAATTTTTGCAACCGATTGGAAGTAATAGAGTCTTAATAATTTTGTTCAGCACATGTACCAACAAGTCAAGATGGCCGAGCGGTCTAAGGCGCCAGTTTCAGGTACTGGTCCGAAAGGGCGTGGGTTCAAATCCCACTCTTGACAAAAATATTTTTTTTTTTCGTTTTCTTGGATCTATGTAGAGGCTTGTAAATTTCCTTTTCAACCTTTTCAGTTGAATGCAGAGGCTTTTAAAATTTTATCAGAAAAACACAAATCACTGTGATCTGGCTTGGATACGATTTGAATTTAATTTACAATTTCATGCAAAAAACTAAACACGTATTATATAAATATAGCTTTGGTTTTTGTTTATTTATAAAAAAGGCATATATGAATCACTTGTTAA